AAAGGGTGTGTCTGTACCCCTTATCCACATTACTATCACCACCAAAACCAAAACACGTCCCCATGTAGTGGGGAAGGGTGTGTTTGTACCCCCTATCCCTATCACTATCACCACCAACACCAAAACACATGTACCCATGTAGTGGGGGAAGAGTGTGTCTGTACCCTTATCACTATCACCACCAACACCAAAACACATAAACACATAAGGCTATAGACCAAAAGCAACATTTTTTAATAATCCATTATTTTCATTTTTGTTTCAGAAATGTATTTAATAGTTGGGTGTCGCAAAGAAAACAGGAGGTACCAGTATCATGACCAGATGAAATATTATGATCATTTAATGGCAATTGAACCTAATACCTAATACTGTATTAATAGTAGTTTTGTATAATATAAAAATATATTGCATGTGAGGTGGTAGTGGTCTGTAACATGCACAGTAAAAAAATCATTCTCAAAACAAATAATTTATACAAAAATTGCACATAAAGAAGTCTTCATTGTTGGTCTTCATATACAAGAGGGAAGCATGAAAAATGAATAAATGAGAAACTTTTCTAGTAATGCTTTTTTTAATTCAACTTCATCATCCTCATTATATAGTTTTCAGTTTTTGTTACAGAGAATTGTCTCTTATTAGATGTCTGGTAAGAAAGAAAGTACCTTTTTTCACACAATAATAATGTACTGATCGAGACAAACATTGTGGCTTATTAATCATCAGTAAGCTACCATCAATCAAATAGATTGTTAGAGTATGTAAAACAGGGGCAGATCCAGGGGAGAGGTGCAGAGGGTGCGCACCCCTCCCTGGTTCCACTTTGTGCCCCTATTTTGAAGATAACCAAAACTGTTTTTCCCTTTGATTCTAGGGGTTGCACCCCTCCCTGGGTTAACTTTGTGCACAGCACCCCTTCCTTAACAAAATCCTGGATCCACCCCTGTAAACCATACTCTAAATATATATTTGGTTGATGTTGGTCTACACTAGCAATAAACCTACTTATAATAATTTCTGTGGTCTAAATTAGTGATTATTCTTAAACAGCAACAGCTCAAAACTAAACGAYGAAATGTTTGTTAATTCTTGTGTTGTGAAATTTTGAAACGGGTGTGTATTTGAATGCTTCCAAATTGTTATAAGATGACAATGAGGACATATTACATGATATTATTTAAGTGGTTTATATTTAGACCCAGTAATGTGAATAAGAGCTATGTACCTAGTTTATGTACATTAATTGTTGATTATTCCAGTTATCATGCATGTATGGCTCACAGAAAGTATAATTGCAAGTTAGACCCAGTAATGTGAATAAGAGCTATGTACCTAGTTTATGTACATTAATTGTTGATTATTCCAGTTATCATGCACGTATGACTCACAGAAAGTATAATTGCAAGGTTTTAAAAATGGTCTTGCTATGAATTATCACAACCTTTATGGATAAAAATAAGGGTTACATTAAGAAACATGATGTTGTTGGGCATAATTTCATGACTGATAATAGGAGAACAAATGTTCCTATCTCCAGTGAGGGTAATACATTCTACAGCTGCAGCAGAGCACCAATAGACCCCTTGCATGTGACATCAAAGCTGGGGGACAAAGCAAAACTATTTCAATCTTGTGGAACCTATTGTTTTGTCCCCCAGATCGAGCTGAATTGCAAAGTTCTGCAAGAGATCTTTTGGCCGATTGTGATTAATCAATCGACTGACAGTACTTCTAGCGGTCAATGGATCAATAATTGGAGACGATCAATTTGCCCAGCCATGGTCAATCATTGTACAGTATATTTTCCAGTTGTACTGCCATTTTCTGACATAATATTTTAATTAGCTATTCTCCTGCAACTGTATTCAAATGTCCTTCCTCTCCTTGTCTTGGTACTCAATCATAAGATACATTAAAATTCACTTTATAAGTCCTAGCTAAAGTATCATTTTGTTTAGGTTAAAAATGTTTCCTAAAATAGTTGTCTTACAAACTTTTCTTACCACACTAGAAATGTTACATTAATATTATGACTTGGTTTTTGCCTGACATCTGTGTTGTTTGTTATAGCCATGCATCTCTTCTTATAACTCATTCATTAGTTAGGAAATTCAGTTTCAATTCACCTTTTCGGCGCTAGCCATCACGTGGTATAAATTGTGTTGGGTTGTGTTACTGTCACCAAAAAGTTCGAACATTGTTCTTGGATTCCCATACAAAATCACCGACTTTAAAGAGAAAATTTAGATAGATTTCTTTAGTTAGCTCTCTTAACAGCAATCAAAAGCTTCAATCAAGTTAGAAAAATGATATTTTACTTGTATTTAGAGAACTAACTAAACAAACCAAGTAAATAGTTCATTCAGTACATTTGTACGGAAATCTGAGAACAATGTCCGAACTTCTTGGTGACCGAAACACAATCCAACACAATTTATACCACGTGATGTCTAGCGCAGAAAGGGTGAATYGGAGTTGTTCATGTTAATTTATATTTAGTTGCCTTAGAGTGATTTTCATAAACCTGTGAAACAGATAACATTTAAAATAGCTAGTGTGTGATAGTGAAATAACAACAAAAGAACTCTATGAAATTAGGGAGTGTCTATTATTATTTGTAGTAGGCTAGTATGTATTTCACAGGTTTATGAAGATCACTCTATCACTAGATATTTCACATTTTGTCTGGTTTAATGTCCCTTAGTTTCCTTTTACCCCATTTATTTGTTCATATTTGCTTGGGTGCTGAGGTAATATTCTCATATTTAAGAGTAGAGGGACTTTCCTGAAATAACAAACTTATTTCCATCACTGCATCACTGCATTATTCATGGCATCATATCTTAAATTGAGTTAAATATGATGCCTGCTTACAGCATACAACTTACAGCATATTTAGTTGCGAAAACTAGTGCATCAAATATTCAATGACATGATATTTACATATCAAACAATGAAAAATGGATATTAATTATTGGGCAGATGTTAATGTAAATTTATTTTGTCTTTGAAAGGCAAGAAAATAAAGTTAACTTCAATTCAGATGTTCAAATATACATTTATTGGTTTTAGGAAAAATCTTGTGTAAATGCTTATTAATCCACTGGTAGGGTGTTGGTAAGATGTCTGTAAGGTGTTGGTAAGTGGTTGGTAAGGTTTTGGTAAATGGTTGTTAGGGTGTTGGTAAGGTTTTGGTAAGTGGCAAGGTGTTGTGTAAGTGGTGGGTAAGTACTGTTAAGGTGTGGTGTAAGTGGTTGGTGAGGTGTTAGTAAGGTATTTGTAAGGTATCTGTAATTGGTTGGTAAGGTATTTGTAATTGGTTGGTAAGGTATTTGTAATTGGTTGGTAAACTGTTGGTAAGGTATCTGTAATATTGTTTGGTAAGGTATCTATAAGTAGTTGGTAAGGTATTTGTAAGTGGTCTATGTAATACATACAGTATGAGTGGCCGTGTTGTATCAGATATACAACCACGAGGCGTAGCCGAGACATGAATACTGTATATGACTTATCAAACGTCTAGTTTAGTTCCTTTGTTTCACTAAAATTTTCAAAATTAAAGTGAATTTGGCCAAGAAAATCCAACTTAAAGTTTATGCAAATGAACACAGTTTTGTATCAGATTTACAACACTTCACGGTCGTGATTTCTGTTGTGTTTTCCTCATGAATTATTCATGAGTTTGATAAAAGGTGGTAAATGGATTATATGGCATTTGTAAGTAGATTATATGGCGTTAGTAAATGGTTGGTAAGATGTCATTGGATGGTAAGTGTTTGGTAAGGTAAGTGTTTCAATATTTTCTATACTCGTCACCCAACTAAAGCCTTTTTACTTGCAGTACGCTTTTATTCCTTACACAATAACCGAGATAAAATTATTATCTTTTATCATATGCACCAGTGATAAGTGATAAATAATATTTCGATAAATTCTTTAATGATTAAGCTCTTAATGTTAGATAACTGTTACCATGGGTGCCAAAGACTCTCTTCCACCAGTACTTTGTGGTGTTAGGTTTMATTTTTGTGAGAACAAAACATTAGAGAGTTTTAGATTGACTTTTTTTCTCCCCACAAATGGCAAACGTGACCACATTTTCATAGTTTTCCTGTATTTTACTTTACCTCTTACAAACCTTCTCACCAAGCGCAAATACTCTTTTGTTTTTCTACTACTTGGACTTTTTTGCGATTCTTTTTCAGTAATATAAAATAATTTTTTACTGGTCAACTGATGTTTCATGTTTGCCCTGAACGTAAATCTAAAACTCTCTATTATGACTAAGATCACTGAAGAAGCCTAGAATCCAAGGTAGATGTTACCTAGCATTCTTGTCATGTATAGTTCATATTCTTATTATGGATATTTCTTTTAATATATAATTAACAGTTAGTTTAAACCTACTAATGGTCTATCACAAATCCTGCACTCGGATTGGCTGAGCTACTACTGATCTATTAGTAGCAAAAAGGGTATGAAACAAAACAATGGCTGCTTGCTAGCATTTTCAACCTAATTCCAAAATTGCTTGTATCCACTTATTTGACCTATTAGTAGGTTTAAACCAAAACAATTTGACCTTTCGCCCTCATGTTTAATGATTCAATATCCCATTTGGCCTCTGAGTCTAACTGTTAAACAACATTTTTCCTGGAATGTAACTAAAATGGCAATGAGAAACAGGTTTCTTGGGCAATGAATCGTCATTCACTAAATGACTGCTAGGAGTGTCATTTCATTTACCCTTCCCTCCATAGGTTTTCCATGTGACCCATTTACATCCTTATCCCCTCCGTCCCAGGATTTCCTGAGGCCCTCTACCAAGGGATATGGACGGATGTATGATTAAAGCTGCTTTACTTTAAAATTAAGAAAACCGTGAACACCTAAAATATGTCTGGAATATCAAACATCGTGTTCTGACCAATCATCTGCCGGAATGAATTCATTTCTAATTAACTGTTGCCTGTGATTGTTCAGAACAGAATGTTTAATATTACAGACATATTTAAGGTGTTCATGGTTTTCTTAGTTTGACTGTAAAACGGTTAATTTACTAATAAAGCATGTTCAATTATAAGTAGATTTTTATGAAGTACATAATCTAGAGGAAACCAGTTTTTTGAACATACTTTTATAGACCTTTTCAGCTTGGACTTAATCCCATTCCAGACCACATTATCCTTCTCCTGAGAATATAAACTTCATTGAGTTGTATATATATTTGTTTGTCTTTTCATGCTCCACTGTGAAACAAAAAATTATATATTTCTAGAGAATGACATGTGGTTTGGAATGGGATAACATTACACCCAAGCTAGAGGGTATCCATAGAGTGTAAGACAATTAACCCATGAAAATTTTGATTAAAGTTATAATATAGTGTGAAATCCTTCATTTTCCATTGCTGAAACAGTATTACTTAGCACAATAAGTTAATAATTGTTCATGAGTTAATTAATCACCCACTATTATCTCATAAAGGGTCTACTGAGTAGAGTTGCCTTTATCTGAAAAGATACATGTCGCAGTTTCTTCTCCTTCTGCTCCATCTGTCATCACTGGTCGTCCATCCTCCCCCACCCTCGCAGTCTTTATAACCCCAAGGTTATTCAGCTCTATAATCAAGTTTCGCAGCTTTTCAGCCTCTTCTTCTTTCTCTTCCTCTGACATTGAATCCAGTGGATTTGGTCTTTCAAAGGGTATTGCACCTAAAAAGAAGCATTTTACAACCATAAATAACAAAACCTTTTTGTGGATAATGCTGTTAGAGCTGCTGTGTTAACAGACATGAGAAGTCATTTGTAAATGATTTGCTGTTTATTCGATTACGTCACTTCGTCAATTATTATTAGCGTAGTATAATGTTTCAGCCTCGTGGCTTTAGATTGAATACTGTACGGGAGRAAAGAGGTATGTACTATGTTATCCTTCTTATTTYCCCCCCTTTTATATCAAATATATAGTGTTACATGATCATTTACAATCACCTATACCTGATTACGGAAGAAACCCATCAATATCTTTAGATTCATACTTCAACGTATACAAATTTGTTATGATTTAAAGAACCGAACTTATACAATGTTACCAAAGTTTACGCATGTGATTCTAGCTTAGTAACCCGATTATAGTCGATTATAGTTAGTTATTTATGTCCTTTGTATTATGTTTTAGTTTTTACGTGATCCAACATTATTGCAATAAAGAATCGAGTATGGATTACAGTGTTTAAGCCTTTCTCCCCAAGTGGCATAACTGCGGGTCTAGTTGACAGCAAGGGTGACCCCAAGCCGCTACACATTAGTGACACCCACATTTGTGAAGGAATGGAAAGATAGAGGAAAGGAATTAGAAGATGAGAGAAAGAAGTGAAGGGGTCATTAGTTAGGTCAGTTTTAATACTGACACCCACATTCATTTGTGAAGGAAGTGAAAGGAATGGGAATGGGAAAGAGAGAGGAAAGGAATGAGAAGATGACGTAAAGAAGTGAAGAGGACAGGATAGGCGAAGAGAAGATAGAGGAAAAGAGAAAGAGGCAAAAAGAGAAGAGATAAAAGGAAAGAGTAAAAAGGAAAGAGAAAAAAAGGAAAGAGAAAGAAAGAGAAAGAAAAGAAAAGCCCAGAAGATAATAAAATAAGGGAAAGGAAGGAGAAGAAAAAGAACCAGAATACCTACCCAGTACAGGGTCAATCTGATCTTTAACATCTAAGTACTCCTCAGTGTCAGAATCTTCATCTTCTGAGGAGTAATCTCCTCCTTCACTCCTACCACATAGTCCCCTCCTGGCCAAGAGACCAGCAGCATTACCATAACCTGTGTACTTAATCAGTCTGTCGGCATTCTCTTTACACAAGAAAAATAGAAATTCTGCCGCAAGGTCCTGCAGATATCAAAGAAAATGCAGAGCCTATTTTAAAAATTGCATTAAGTTTGAATAGTAAGCATTTTTTCAAGAAAAATCCTGGAGGGTGGCAGAGCGGTAGCTATTGCACTATTACCTATGGGGTATTGGGTTAATTCCTTGATGCAACATTATGTGTGAGTACAGTTTGTTAGATCTCCCCCTTGAATCTAGAATTTTCTCACGGTTTTCCAGCTTTCCTTCCTAAATTCCAATTCAATCTGTGAGTTAGCCATGCCCTGGTGATAAACCAAGAGGTTGCTTCAGGGCATCAATAAAATTGGAAGGCTTTTTAACCTCACCCTAAGAGGGTGATTAAAGTTTCATTTAAAGAATAAAGGTGAGTACCAGAATTTTGTTCCGACACCCCCTCCCCACCCACCCTCTCCTCCCCCCTGAGCAATGCTACCCCACAAGATTATGGAAGCGGGGGACAGGGAACATAGGATTCAAGCTTAATTCACTGCAAAAACTGTTTATCTCAATAATCAAGACACATACACCAAGATCTGTGATGGGAGATGTCATCAATTTCACCAGCTTGTTCCGTATTTTGTTGCCTTCCTCTGGCCTTTTATGGGTGACCTTGCCGAGTGGTGGGAGGATCTCCAGCTTAAGATACTTCCTGATGACCCTATTACCCCTTGATGCACRGCAAAGGGCACTTAGGATTGAGATGAGAGAGTCATGTTCATCCTTGTCGGTTAGACGCTGATCAAGGATGGTCAGGATGGCATGGATAGTATACATGTTGTAACACTATTAAAACACACAAAGAGATTAGATTGTATTAAAATTTAATACAAACAGTCCTGTATATATGCCAACTAGGACATGATTCTATATATACCAAAGATATTTAATAGGACATGATTCTATATATACCAAAGATATTTAATATCTTTGGTATATATAGAATCATGTCCTAGTTGGCATATAGCCATAACAGTGGGATTATTCTCTCCCCTCCCACCCTCCTTTATTAGAAACAAAGTAGTAATATAGCACAAGCCTCCAAATCCTCAAAGGAGCCAGACTGACAGTATACAAGAAGACCACCTTCCAGTCTACACCATCACCTGATGAAGACTAGCAGTAGCAGTTAAACTGTTGAAGGAGGAGGGCAGACTGACTCCAGGGTAAAAGTATTGTCTTTTAGGGTGTTAAAATATAAATTCAGGATTTCAGCATTTCTTAGTATCATTTAGGGTATCTCTTAGGGATTAAAGATCTTCCAACCACGCTCTTTTAAAAAGGATTTTGGTATCTTAATTTACCCGATACTTTTATCCTGGAATCCCCCCCCCCCTCCCCTAGTACCACAATCGTGAGACAAATGAATAAGTATAATTTTTGATTTATATCCACAGTGAATAATCTTTTCCATTTTATAGACTCCAGTTTGTTAGACACGATACAATATACAATGTACTTACCATGTAATGTGTCCTGAACTGTGGAGTGATTATATTCAGTTCATACTGAGCTTTAAATGCTCGACTTATCAGCTTAGGAACTTTCCAAAACATATACTTCAAGGCTTTCTTTGGCAAACAGCTTAGGATGTTGATGGCCTGATTGTGAACACTTTCTGAGCCATGGACAACTTTTCTGTTATGGGCAAAAATACTGCAGACGATGAGTGCAATCCTTTCATAGTGTTCCAAGGTATCATTGTCCAGTTCTTTTGGTACAGCCATGGAAACATTAAAAAGAACCTTCAATATTTCAGTAACAAGTCTTGTCTGATCTTCTCCCATGTCATAGCTGGTTGGGGTCTTCTCCATCATAAACCTGGATAATCAATAACCAGACTTTACGTTACTAATACGATGAGGGATGATAATAGAATATCGGTTTGTAATGATATTCCAAGCCTTCATTCTAAATATCCTTAGAGTGGTAAAGGAAATATTTACTCTGCATGAGTTAAGCATTAGTCATCTTGCAGCCGTTTTAGTCTTGTTCCACTCCCCAACAGTCCACTGGAATGGAACAAGACTAAAATGGGTGCGAGGGAGACTAATAATAAATTTTAATTAAGTATGCATAGTGTGCTGACCCTTAGGACATCTGAATTCAAGTGCATTTTGGTGCTATCATGTTTGTTTATTCAGCCATCAGGAAACTAAGAAACCCAGGTGGTGACTAAAATGATGCTGATGATGATTAATAATAACTGACTTTTTGGTTGAGTCTGGCATTTGAGAGACTTGTCCTATAGAGCTTAAAAGTTGTGAGATACATGTATTTATTCCAAATGCTCACAAAAGTCACTCAAAAAAAGGCAGAAAATGTTCTCAAGGATTTTACTTCAAACTGAAACAATAATTAAGACTTTGGCCAACAAATCCTGTCATGAAAAAAAAGTAAGAAAAACCTCTTTCTCTGTTTTTGTTTAGATCGTGAGTCATTTTTTCGTATGATTGATGTCGCACTTAATAGCATTGTTTATAGTCCCCCATGTTTCCAAGGCAACCATGAGATAGTGCTTGCCTCTAATTGGCTGAATTTTTGTGCATGGGACATAAAGGCAATGAAGATTAATGATAATGGTGAAAAAGATGATCATGATTCTCAAATAAATCATAGGCTGGCAATACCTCAAATGAAGATTAGCATAAAATAGGATTAAAAATAGCTTAAGATAAGAATAAAACATGAAACCATTACCAACCTTTGCAAAACACTCATCTTGTCAAGTGCCTCTTGTTCAACTTCTCCACATCCATCCCTTGCACCTGTGGCATGTACCCTGTCCCTGTCTGTCTGTCCAGGTACATTCGCATCCAAACAGTGCGTAAGAACACAGATGCCATTACTGTTCACCACAGAAAGACGTTCTGATGACTCATACGCAGTCAGCAGAAATAGCATTCTCAGATCGAAGTATTTCACATCTGAGGGGAATTCCTGATTGAGGAACCAATTTTTGGTTCTTTTGACAAGTGCTTCTGTGATGTGGTACTGTACACAGTAATCCCGCGCTATTTTACTTTGAAATATGATATTACATAAACATTTCAGCGCCTCTTTGACGACTTCAGTGCTCTCCTTGACAGCCTCAAGATCCATGATTTCTCGCCCTCCCTGATCGAATTCGGCGTTGCCCAACTTACAGCTCGCTACATCTTTGGCCGCGGCACCTTCGACTGATTGCTCTCCATTTYCACCACTTTTCAGATCCTCTTGATCTTTCTCTGGCTCTATGTGAAGTCCGCTTAATGTAAACAGGGTCTTACACGACTCTTCCGAAGTTAGCAACCCTAAACCATTTTTATCTCGACTCAAAATTCGAAGAGCGCAAAGAGCTTGCACCTGAAACTCTTGACAACCATTTCTTTGAACAAGTTCCTTCAAAATGACGTCTATGAATTCCCTTCGCAGAGAAAGGWCAATTTGATCGAAAGAGAACGTCGACTTGAAGTCCTCGTTGAAATTTTTTAATTCTTTTATGGCATCTGCTTCGTTTTTGGATGATTTTAAAATATCCAAGCAAGCCTCCATCTTTGGGTATTGCTTCTGTCTTCTACTTTGCTTCAAAACATGTCTCCCACTCATAATCAATATCGTCTCGTTAAACTGTCGATTGCTATTCGATATAATCTCGATGAGCTTCGGCTTATTGTCGGAAATATTTCGGCGACAAAATTTTGTGCAAGCTCAGAGGAGACAGAAGATCAACTCTTTGTTTTCACTTAAGATTTTTTTAAGTTTCCTTGGTTTTGAAAGTCTTTTTTAAAAGGAAGGACTTTGTTTGTTGTCACAGCTCTTGTAAACGTGCTGTAAAGTCTGTTTCGTGTTTGAAATAATACTCGTTTTCAGAAATGTCGGACACATGGTCTGACATTCAAGAACACAAGAGAAGACAGGAGAGTCTCCGAGAAAGACTACAGAAAAGGAGAAGAGAACGTCAGGGCATCAATGCTGGGGAAGGAGATGGTGAGTCCTACCCTTTGCAAGAAGCTTTTTTAAATGTATTTTTAGTTTGATCTATTAGTCTGACATTCGTGCCACCATTGCAGTTTATCAATGATTTTTGATATAAACGTTGTCTTTTGTCATAACTTTGTTTTCATATTTTTCTTTTCATATTTAAGCTTCGCTGGATTTAAGATAAAAAGCAAAAAGATCTTATCTTTCATTTTGTTGCTTGATATGTTTATGTTGAATGGGTGAGCTTTTGGCTTCCTGTGTTATTGTGCACCACAGGAACCCCAACGTTGGAAATATTTTTTCCTAAAGTCCACATTGACACAACAAAATATGTGTTAAGTTGTGTTTTGACTACACTGACAAGAACTTTTGTAAGATGGTTTTATTAGGGATTGTTCACTACCCAAGAATAATGCTGCACCAACTATATCTATACTGGGTGCTGTCAAACTATGCTGTAGTTGACAGTAATTGGCCTTCGCTGTTGCGGTTTCCCTGCCTCAGAATAATATTTATACTCATATTTTGAACTTGATGCAAAGGTACATAAATAAATGGAAACTGCCAGATATGAAAAACTGCTCTAACATATATCTGTCAATGAGCTGTCAGAAATTACGTCTTCCATGACAAAATTTATTTTTGTTATAGGAACAGCAACTCCGCCCCCTTCATCACCTCAGCCTGCAGAAGAAGTTACCAGTACGACCAAGACAGAGGTTGTCAAGGTGGATCCCATGCTAGAAAATCACCTTATTGAATGCCTGTGGGCCTCCACTTTCATCTTACCAGTAGACTCCTTGCACATTTTGAACCACTTGTTAACCAAGGTAAACAAGGACTCATAAGGAGCTAAGGAGCTTAAGTCAGGGAATAATAATTGTGTGTAGATGTTATATAGCACTTTGTTTTTAGAGATTGAATTGAATTTAGGGAATCTATAGTTAAATATGATTTATGGCAAAGGTAAAGAAAGACTTGTATTCCTGATTTTAGCTCAAGACAGGGGAGAATTGGATTTTGCAAAGTGTGTGGACATTATAAAGGACTTTGTAGATTAAATTGAAGTTAGGGGGTCCATAGTAAAAACAATAATTATGGTATAGGTATAGATATCTTAATTAATTAGTGTTTTATCTTATGAGGGTATGTCACTTTCTGTACGTATATAAGTTGCAAGTATTGTTAACTATTTTCCATACGATGGTTCACTGTTCATACAAAAAGACTGCAAGGTAGTTTCAATGAATTATTTAAATTTGAACCTTGCAGCCTTGATTGAATGCTTTGTATATGACCAGTGAACTGTCTATAGGTTTTATATAAAGCAAGAAAATCTTGGCACACATAACATGACATAGAAAAGACTACTTTGGCGATACAGGGACCATATTCCTAGGGGGCGAAACAAAACAAAGATGAATGGAAACATAGAGAGTTCCATGTGTTTGTTGTTCTTTTATTGGAAAAGGTGATCGATGTGCTGTCTCAATCGATTTTTGTCAGTTGTATTCTCTTGTTTGTTATATCGTAGCAAAGCTTAATTTGCCCACTGGATGCCGCATAATGCCTTAAGATCCAAGATGGCCACCTTATCATTGAAGTAGTCCATTGACAAATCCAGTCTTTCTTCAACTTTGTGTACTAAAAAAATAGTATTAACTGTGAAAGTTGTAATTATTATTAATTAATCTTTTCAACATTTCAACCCATTGCAGATCAAAACAGACATTCCTGCAACTAGAGAAGCTGTTGAAAACCTTCTACAAAAGTTTGCCATTCAAGACTTTATTAGGTGCAGTTTTTGATAGTTCAAATGTTATGTTATTGTACAAAGTTTATGGAGAAGCTAGAGATACATGTTCTGTATTTCTGAAATGATCGAGAATAGACCTATTTAGCTTGGGCATAATATTGTTTTTTTCAGACCCAGGGTGGGGATTACTCTTGCTTGTTTAGGGTAGGGATGTGCTGCTGAGCCCTCTGAACCCTGACCCTGTTCCAGGGTAAAATCACGGAAATTTGTCATATACAAGTATAGTGAATATAAGGGAGTACCACCCCCCCAGGATTTCAGATCAGGTGTCATTCTCTTGAGAATAAGATTCTTTGTTTCGTTGGTATCCATATTCATGTGTCATCTTATGCACAACTGTTAAGCAAAGAAATTATACTCAAGGGAATGACACATGGTCTGAAATGGGAAAACATTATGCCCAATCTAAAGAGGCCTATTTACAAAAGACTAATTTCATATACATAGCTTAAAAAATAACCTAAATAGCCTAAATAATTTGTCCATCCATCTATCCACCCCAGGGGTCCTACAGGTATATATAGAAGAGCAGGAATGCTCGTTGTTGTACCTTTTAGGATTCCAGATGCAATTTGGAACCTCACCTCTAGGGTGTCACAAATCTAAAAGGACTACCAGAGAGTAAGCCAGTACCTCTAAGGGTGATTTTAAGGCAATCTGGACAGGATTCATTTACCCTTTACCTCTTACCTCGTACTTCTTTTCTAATATAATTTCTTTGGTCTTAATAGCATAAAGAAAGGTACTGCTAAAGATGGGAACCCTTGTGTCATCGTAACAGACAAAGACCATTCAAAGGTACAGTATGACAATCAAGACTGTATCACAGCAACAACCAGAAGGCACTTAGAACCTGAATAAGTTATCTGCCAGATAAGCAATATCCAGCAGATAATAAGGCCATCCAGTAATTAGTTATGCATTGGATAAAATCACATTAGATATTTCCTATTTGAGCTTCATGTAACTGAAGCACATGATCTGGATAACTTTTATCTGCTGGATAAGGATTTATTCAGTGAATAGACCGACCCCTTGCAGCTCCTTGAAATGCAGCTCAATTTGGACATTGTTTGACATAACAATAGGTTTTTGATTCTCAGGAGGTGGAATTTTTGTGTTTTGTCCTCCAAATTGAGCTGCTTTGACATCACATGCAAGGTGTCTATAGTACTTTTTCTAGCTTATTTAGGCTTCATACAACCAGCTCTAGATGCATCTTTTACTAGTGAATAGTAAATCTTAGATCTCCAAAGCAAAGTTTAATTTGACAGACCATAAGATGCATCTACTGTTCATTGACATTGATCATCTTCAAACTGAGCATTCATTGTGTTATTTTCTATCAATATTCAGCTTGATGCAGTAGCACAGGAGCTTAACAATGATACAGGTAGAATATGTTTTGTTATGCATCCATAGAACAGATCTAGCACATGATGGCACTGTCTTTGTACGAAATTGAAGACATCATTTGATTTGTGCATATTGTAGTATGCAAGATGGTAATACTACACCGAAGAAAATGCAAAGAAAAGAAGAAAAAAACATCACAGAAATATTCTATGGTTTTTTCACCGTCATACAAAATTCATTCCCTTACATAATTATAAATATGTGAATTCATTTGTTATATGATGTGTTTAAGCATGATCAATAAACACACAAAACAATGATTAAGGATGTTTATTGATTGCTCTGACAGCTTTCCTTTTTTTGCCTATAAGCTTCCTTAATACAAACCATTTCTAAAACATCAAGTTTAAATACCTGTAAATACTTTGCTCTAATTTCATTTATGATTCTTAGATGAGAAATCATCGTCCAGGAAAAGGAAAAGAGAAAGGTACTAATTTAGCTTGGGCTTAAGCTTTTCCCATTCCAAATCATTTGACATTGCCTTGAGAATTTTACCATTTCATACTTTACAAAAAGTATGAATGTGTCAGTGATTACAATGAGTCTTTCTCAAAGGGATGATACATGGATTGCTCTCTAGTTTACCCTGCAAGCAGAGATCGTTTTCCTTCCTCTACATAGGGCTGAGCAGAAAGTAATGGAGAGCAGAAAAAGAGCTCTGGAAACGGGGTTTCTGAATTGGGGGGAAACATAGATTTTAAAGCTAAAAAAATATGGAATATCTTAAATAAGAATAGTCTGCCATATCTGAAGTTGGCTGGGTTGCAGAAATATGAAGTGTTTGACCAAACCATCTATTTTATTATGATACCATATTTACCTGTTAAGCGCCATGGCGCTTATTTAATTTTTTGGGGTTTTATTTGCACCGTTGATTTGGGGGCGACACTTATTTGAGAGCCTTATATCTCATGGATTTCCTTTCTTTCTGCAGTGAATCATCTGATACCTCAGCAAAAGGAGCAATATCCAGTAAATCACTCAAGACTGATTCTGATGATGAGTTACAGGTCTGTATTTCAATTTGTCCTTTTTACAGAGACCGTAATAAAGATGAATTTGAGRGTATCCTGAAGGGCAACTAAGATTTTCTTATGAAAACTAAAATTGGGAGTAGCATTAGGAAGCATGAGTGGCGTAGCAGTGAGAGTGATCGCCTCTCACCAATGCAACTCGGGTTCAGGTCCATACGAGCTCGGTGTTGTATGTGAGTTGAGTTGTTTGTTGGTTCTCTCCTGTGCTTCGAGGGTTTTCCGGGTTGTCCGGTTTTCCTCCCTCTGCAAAAACCAACTTCTAAATTCCAATTCGATCTTGGGCTTTCACCTAGCATGGATCTGAGGGTTCCGTTCATGATTGTCCCACTCTGTGATTACAGAGACAAACTGATAGATTTTTTTATTATTCTTTCATGTGTAAATATTTTAACATGTTCGTCATAAAAGAACAATTCTCAAGGGATTGTCATGTGATCTGAAATGCGCAATTTGCTCATGAAGCTAAAGAGGTTAAAGGACCCTGACTAATTTTCTTTTGCTTGACTTTCTGTGGTAACTTGTGTTGATTGGGTTGATAATTTGATCAAAATTATTAATTATTTAGTTATTAGAATACTCTATTTTCGAATTTTCTGTTGTCTAGAGTTAACCTCTATTTTTTTGCATAGTAGAAGTAAAGGTTCCTAAAATTTCAAAGTGTTTGTATTAATGAAGTTGTGCATTATTTACTTTATTGGTAAAGTAAAGAATGAAAACTCAAATAAAGCTAACATTGAGGAAATGGGTGTGTAAATAAGTAAGAAAGCAGTATTTGACTTATATTTGAAAATGTTCCATTTAAAGTTTCATTACATGCAACTGACTTCCCTTGTCTGTTCAATAGGCTCTTCTTTCAATGCCAACCATGAAAGAACAAGAGGTAAGCAAAATAAGATTCAAAATGGGGCTCAAAAAAATATTTTGTTTTACTATAAAAACATTATAAAATTAACTATAAGTTACTCTGATTGTTTTTTATCTTGGTCAGTCATACCCTCGTTTATAAGATAAAGACATTACTGTCAGGGTGGAAAACAATAATATTATTTTAAGAATAGATGACCAACTCTTTGTGGCATAGGAGACCAAGGGGACCCCAGATCAATTCACAGACTTGGCAGCCTGCGTTAGTAGAGTTGCTTGTTAGTTCTCCCCAGTTTCCTTCCTCCACAAATTAAAATCAACTTCTAAATTCCAAGTGGAAGAAAAGTCACTCTGTGGAACCACTTGATCCCCATTATTTATTATCATTTGTATTATGTTTTAAATTTATTTAGTATTTTTTTTATTTTGTACTCACTAATTAGACAAAAAAGGTTGGAACAGATATCCTGGATCTTTTGAACGTCCCATCCCACCAGGTAAGATATAGAGAAACTGAATAATAGAGCAGCAGATACCAGAGTTATACTCTCTTGCCTTCAAACAATATTGTTTCAAGTGAAGGCGTTTGGGTCAATACATTGAATTTATAAAAACTGACCCAAATGCAAAAATTGTTAGGAGTTAATAAAAAACCATATATTTTATGACCACCACTCCCCATATGGGGCTCTTCCGTGAGGTTCCCTCCAAATGCACTACCACTTCATTCTATATTTACAACATACAACACTCAACTGACATGTTGATTTTTACTGAGAAAGAAAACCACAGAACCCAGAGAAAGGCCTTGGGGCAAGGGATCGGAGAAAACAACACAACAAACAAACTCAACTCACATATGATCCAGCCTGAGCCAGGGCTTAATCTTGGACCACAGCGCCACCCATGCCACCCAATAGAGTGTATCTCTAATATCTGCTATTCAGAGTGGTGAAAATGGACCTGAATTTGGTCTGAATCTTTGAATCTAAAATAGGCACATATAACTACCAAAGCAAGAGGGTTTATTAACATTACAGCTTGACACCCTGAGCATTTCTAACAACTGTTTTATATTTATGGTTCTTTTTCAGCAACAATCAACTTTAGAGAAGTTCAAGTCTCAAGGTGGTGCTTTTGTGCATGAGTTCTGTGAGAGTGGAACCCGTGCAGATTGTCAAAAAAATAAACCTGGCCAGATTTGCAAAAAAGTAAGAAAATCTTGTGAAACAATTTCTTTTGTTCAGTTACTTAGAGTACTAGTTACCACAAATCCATCCATCCAACCATCTACCCATCCATCCATTCATCAGTCCGTGTTCCGTCCGTCCGTCAGTCCATCCATCCATCTGCCCATCTATCTATCTATTTATCCATCTCTACATCCATTAACCCTTTCTTCTTTCCATCCATTTCTGCATACATCTTCTCTCCATCTGGTCAAGTGGTCAAGTGACTGTTTAATCAATTACATGATTCCTTCCATCCAAATTCCTTTCCTTCCATTCATTCATTCATCCACCCATGGATTTTTGCCTTACTAACTATTAATAATTAATCATTATAGGTTCACTTTAGAAAAATCCTACAGAAACACACCGATGGTAAGACATTCCTGATTCCCATCCAAAGCTGCTTATTGCAAAACTCAAAACATCCTTTGATCTCACCATTAGATCATATATTTTTTGTTTTAATAAGTACAGTTTCCTACCATCATTGATTGTGTTTTTTGTTTGTTTTTCTCTGTAGAATCTCTTGGCGATTGTTCTTTCTTGAACACCTGTTTCCACATGGATACATGCAAGGTAGCTATCACAACAGTCACAATTTTTTTCTCTTCAGCTATTGTCATTGCCCACCAAGCGACTATGTGGGGCTTTCAGAATGTAGATGGAGTAGATGGTCATACGTCTGAAGCAGTTTAGCTGATACTCTTATTGATACTCTTTTATAGGAAAGATTATATGTAGATAAGAAGATCCTAAACTTTTTTTACCCTCACATAGTAATAATAAGGATGATTAGATTTTCCTGTAGCAAAGTTTGTGCTAATGACAAGTGCCTATGTCGTACTTTGTTTGATAATGTTACTCTTATTTCTTCCAGTATGTGCATTATGAAGTTGATTACAATGACATGGAAATGAAGAAAAAGGAAGAAATGGAAAAGGAAAAGAATAAAGTGGAGGTAATAACGGTGACTTTTTTCCCAAAAAGGAAGCATAAATGTAAGGGATGGACCATTAGATAATTGAGGGATGGGAGTGGGGTTGCAGACTGAAATTTATGTTCATGTTATTGTACACATTTTTTGTGTGTTTGCTTGATATTTCTTTTCTGAAAGGAGCGGCTGCATAATATTTTTTCGTAGGTGAAGTGCTTGCTCAATATTTGGGGAAGGGGGGGATTTACTCAACCTCCCCTCAATAAATTACATAATGGTCCAACTCTAAGTTTAAAGTTTTTATTGCATGGATATTTTATTTATTTGTTGCATTTTTCTTCTTACTTTGTCAACATAGACAACAAGGACATCCAAGAAAGAGCAAAACAAGATTATTTTATATCCACCACAGGTAAACCAAATTTATTTTAAAGAATAGCCAGTATACATGATGGTGTCATATTACTAATACTACCAGAATGCTTTAGTAATTTTCTTTCTTATTCAAATTTTTATTCCCTTGTGAAAATACTAAATACAGTTTTTTGGTTTGTGAATAAAAAAGACTTTTAGATTGCAATTTGAGTCCAGTGGAAGAAGAAGCACTCTGTAAAACCACTGTTAAATATTATCCTAATTTCATCATCATTATTTGTTAAAATGGATAGTTCAGGTTGTTACTGGTTTATACATTGTTGGTTTCATTGACTAACATTATTTTCTGTTGTCCTATGCAGTATATACAGTGTGATGTTAGGACACTAGATACATCAATACTTGGCAAGTTTTCAGTCATCATGGCTGACCCACCATGGGATATACACATGGAGGTAACTGTCAACAAATTGATTGGTAGCAAGCATTTGTAAGAGAGTCAAAAGTCAAAAGCATGGCGGCTATCTTGGCGCAGTACAGAAATCTTTTGTGACATGGCACTTACATGGTCACAATGATGTTGATGTTTCAATCCTTGCATAGAAATGAAAACAGTGGCCAAAGTTTCACCTAATGTCGAAGTTGAAATATTTTGATGTCCTAATGATGTTTTTGTTTGAAGCTTCCATATGGTACCATGGCAGATGATGAGATGCGGCAGCTGAATATTCCTGCATTACAGGATAATGGTTATATCTTCCTCTGGGTGACTGGCAGGTAAGCAAAGATAACCTTTATATAGGCAGGGGGAAAAGAAAGGAGAAGGAACAAGCTATACAATGAAGGAATAAAGGGGAGAGGAAAGATGGAGAGTAGATGGATGTAGAAATGGATGTAGAAATGGAAGGGAGAAAGGAAAGGCGGATGAATGAACTTATACTATAAGTGGGTTGATCTGGGTGAATGGTGGGAAGACAGGAAGCCTTGATGGATAAATGAATGGATAGAGGGAAGGAGGGGAGGAAATGGTAGATGGATTGTTGAAACGATAGGAAAAAGAAAGGAAGGGTGCATGGATAGATAGATGGTGAAAGGGTGGATGGTGTAAGGGTGGATGGTGAAAGGGTGGATGGTGAAAGGGTGGATGGTGAAAGGGTGGATGGTGAAAGGGTGGATGGTGTAAGGATGGATGGTGTAAGGATGGGGGGTGTAAGGATGGGGGGTGAAAGGGTGGACGGTGAAAGGGTGGACGGTGAAAGGGTGGATGGTGGAAGGGTGGATGGTGAAAGGGTGGATGGTGAAAGGGTGGATGGTGGAAGGGTGGATGGTGAAAGGGTGGATGGTGAAAGGGTGGATGGTGAAAGGGTGGATGGTGAAAGGGTGGATGGTGGAAGGGTGGATGGTGAATTCATGGTATGAATTATCTCACAAACTCATGCGTGGATTGTTTTTAAAGGGCCATGGAACTTGGAAGGGAATGCTTGGAGTTATGGGGGTGAGTACCATACTGTTTTCTTGTCTATTTAAATTATCTTGGAATAAGTGTGTTTAACATTTGTTGTTCTTCAGCTACGAGAGGTGTGATGAGCTCATTTGGGTCAAAACAAACCAACTGCAGCGACTCATTAGGACAGGAAGAACAGGGCACTGGCTGAACCATGGGAAAGAACACTGTCTGGTAGGGAGATATCACTTAAGTTTAGTTCATGGAACTACTGTTTCATCCTTATAGAACACTTTACCTTATGTATAATGTTTCCCCATTATGGACCACGTGTCATTCCCTAGAGTATCATTTCTTTGTTCATCCGCTGCGCATGAGAAAACACTTGAATACGAATACAACTCAAACAAAAAATCCTATTTTCAAGAGAATGGCGTGATCTGAAATGCGAAAACATTATGCCCAAGCTAAAGAAGTCGATCTGAAAAAAGACGTCTTACTATGTATTACCATGTTTTTTTGGAACTGTCCCAAACCAAATATTTCGTATCAATGTATTTTCTATTCTGACCACTTTTCATCGTTTTTGAAGGTTGGAGTGAAGGGTGATGTTTCTGGGTTCAACAGAGGAATGGATTGCGATGTACTTGTAGCTGAGGTAATAGGTTCATTTGCATTTTGCTCTCGCTCAACCGAGTTACAGCACACGTATTTTATTAGCTTGACTTGTAATTTTCAAATGGATTGTCCTCCTAACCAAGTCAAAGCTGCTCTAAAATACATGTGCAGGAAGTGCGAAATTTCTGTTTTTAGCACGAGGCTGCGCAGATACTTTACCATCATTTCTTTATCTCAGGTGCGCGAGACAAGTCACAAACCAGATGAAATATATGGTTTGATCGAAAGGCTGGCACCAGGAACGAGGAAGCTTGGTAAGTTTGGAAGGTTGAACGAGAACGCACGCAATAGAGTTTGCTGTATGCAAAAAAGAAATAATGGGCACAACATTGCAAGTATATCAAGGCGCAAAAAATGTCCGATAAATTTCGTATTCATTCCTACAGTAATCTATCATGCCATTCTACTTTCGTCACTTTTTACCAATGTAACTCACGACCATTTCTCAGTTCTTACTTAGATTTACTTTTTTTTTACAGAAATTTTTGGTAGACAACATAACATCCAGCCCAACTGGTAAGCAAAGGAAATAGTTCAAATGCTGTTTTGTTTGTTTGTTGTTGTTTTTATTTATATGTTCGTGTATCCTTTCCTCAGGATCACCCTTGGTAACCAGTTAGATGGAGTACATCTTTTAGAACCTGACGTCGTTGCTCGATTTAAGAAGAGATATCCTGATGGCAACCCGTTGTCGACCAAGCCTAAACCAAGTTGATACCCTGAGATTTCATCTCCTTTTAGAAAATCCTTTTCCACTAAGTTTACAACAAGAGGAACGACAACCCGTTCTTGTCCAAGCCTAAACCAAGTCAATACCCTGAGATTTTTATTTTCTTTTAAACTACCCTTTTCTTCTAAACTTACAGCTAAAGATGCCTGGTGCAAATTACAAAAATGCGGCGGTACGAAGCGGTACAGCACTTACACGGTACGATATGCCGCAACATTAAATTGGCTTTCCATTTTCTTGCAGTAGTTTATCCAATCACAACGCGTAGTTACGGTTACAAAGCGACGACAAAATTTGTCGGATCGTTTCCCACTGATACCCCTCTATCTCATAACAAAGCAAAGTTTAGGTAGGGCTTTATGCCTAATAAAGACGTGCTGTCATTATAACTAAGATCTCGGTTCGAGCGTGATTTAAATCCTTACGCACATTCATGCGCACCCGGGTGTTTCCTTCTAACAAAGTTGGAGCAAAGTAATAGAGACGAACTAAGGGATACAAAGAACATTCGAGTTTTATTTTTGGTATTTTAGTCATGAACTATGATAAGATTATGTATAAATTTTTCGCATTACAGGGGCGTAGCCTGAATTTTCCTAAAGGGAAGGCCCAAATTTCATTTAAAAAACTGTCATTTTGCTTGAGTTACCAAACGCCAAACAAATAAAAAAAACATTAAAAAGCCGACATTAATTTTTACGTTATATTTTTACAAATTCTAAAAAGTTGCCATTTTGTTGCTATTTTGTTGTTTGAGGGAGGGGGGGTGGGGGTGGGTGGCCCCCTTGGTCACTCTCCTGCATACGCTCCTGCATTAACTGTGCAGTAATTTATCAATAAAATATGTATATAACTATGTATCCAGCTTCTTTTTGGTCTCTGTAACTGTTGAATTTTTAACGTACTTTATTTGAGATTTTTGATTTTTGGACCATCTCCCTCTACTAACTATGCAAAAACCCGTAACATCCCAATGCCCATCGCACAATTTACCCATTTAGAAATTGTTAGGTTAATAAGAGCTAGACACTGAGCTCAAGGATGGTCACTGCCAGGGTTTCTCTACGTCCTCAGTGGTTCTTTTACCTCCCTCCGGCAGGGTGGGGTAGTGTGGAGAAACGGGACCCAGAAATTATAAGGGTTTAGAAACATAAGTTTCTGGGTACCGTTATTTTACRTGGTCATCCAAACCACTTACCGAATCATTTACATAATGCCAATCAAAAGTTACGGGTTACGCCAACCGGGAAAGTTTTCATTTGATATCACGTATCAGTGGAAAATGCAAAAAGAAGGTATTTTGATCTCGCAAAATTCGCAGGTGAATGCAAACACATTTCGGCATTTCGGGTTTGTCAGAAGACTAACAATCTTTCACTCCAATATCCGCAGTCCTTATCCATGTTAGCGTTCCCAGTTCTTATTTTCCAGTAACATTTTCACGTGACCCACAATGCAACTCGGGTATCACGAACAAGAAAAACATGGCGAATATGTGAAGATATGAATTACGAAGAAAATGGACGCTCAGACGGTAAGAACTGTTTAAACAACCTATAAAATCCCATAACGTTTAGAGTTAAATGTATTTTATTCCCTTTGAATAGTAAATTTGTTGCTTTCTGTTGTTTTTCGTCGAGAAAAAAGACAAAGTTTATAGAAGGTGGTGAGTTTGCACGTGTTACAAAAAAGCTTGAAAAAATCAGACTACTTTCTTTCATTTAATTCTATTTGCCATTCAAATATTTTGCATTACCTTCCTTTACGTTTTTTGAAGTTTTTTGGTTTTTCTTTCTTTTAAAAAGGAATTAAAAACTAAATGTTGAACTGCACGCTTTCCACCCCTCCCCTCCCCCCTCAGACATTGTTTGACGTAACAGACTGAATGGAGAACTTTCTTTAAACAGAAATGTAAAAAAAAACGTATAAAATATGTTTTATCATTCTACTTTAACCTATATTCGTATGATGGTAATAATTAGTTTGCCTAAATCATTTTTTTATTTGTTTTTTAACAGCCCACTTTTCTCAGAAAGTTGTAATTCCTCCAACTTCGTCAACTCCATTTCCTCCTTTTTAAAAGGTATATTTTAAATTTAATTTTTTCATCTTTTATTCTCTTTATCACTTTCACCTGTTTTTTTAGCACCATCTAAATAATTGAAATGGTTGTTGACATATTTCCCCCCATCTTTCATTGGTTTTTTTTTTCTATAGAATTATATGTTTATTATTTTATTTTATTTGATGTTCAACAGCTTATAAAGCAAGCAATGAAAAGTCTCACTATACAGTTTATGGGAAGAACCATTGATAACAGTTCATATTTTATTCAAATTTTGTAAGTAATTTKATCATATTTCTACTCCATCCCCTATCGGCTGGGTAAATGCACCTAACTTAATGTATCTGTGTATATAAAAAGCAGTGCCTAACAAATAAGAAACAGAATTTTATTATCAAGTGTGTTTCCAGAAGGTTGAAAATGGTTCTATCTAATTACAAGAAAAGCATGCAATTTGTTAATAACTGTCAACTATTTTCTGCTTTACAAGAACCTGGAATTGTGGAGATGTTATTTTTTCAAATCCATAAGCAGGGAAATTTATAAAATTAAGAATGACCAACATTTTTACTACTTGTACTTACATGGAGTCAAGTCTTGGAATTTTCTGAACATCTACATARAAATGATTTGTTTTCTGGAAATGCAATATTTTTACCTCATAAATAATCAGAAATTTTGAACAGGAAAGTCTTTGGGTAACAATCATTTATTTTCAATTAAACAATTCTTTTCAACCTTTTGACAAATGAGCAGGAAGAGGAAGGAAAGTGGAAAGTTTTAGTGCCTTAAAACACCATACTTTTTTCATTTTTTTTTCTTTCGGCACCAATCAGGAATATTTCATTCAAAGCTCAGATTTGCTTACTTTCAGGTTTTTATCTYTATATGCAACGATTTTACTTAAAAGAAAGAAAAATAATAAATAAGTAAAACTAAAGTTAGAATAGATTTTCTATTTTTTTCTGAGAAGAACTTGTTTTCAAACTATTGGTAAACATTTTATTATGTTTTGACAAGGAGAAAAATAGATATTGATGATTTTATTCAAAGTTCATTTTATCCTCCTTGAGGTAATCAGTTTTTGGCAGACRATAATGTTTCAATGAAAACAAAAAGAAAGAAAGAATAATTAAAATAGATAAGTGATAATTATTACTTTTCGGCAGTGAATAATACTTTTCATCCTAATCAAGAGAAATGCTTAACCAAAGACAGTAAGCTCCAGTTTAGACATTCATCTTTCTGAAATGCACCAGAGTCATTTTCCAGCAAATCTTTGAATAACTACTGGTAGTCAATGTGGTATTCGGTTAATTTGCCGCCAGTGGCCAGTTCGTCCACAATGTAATTAACAGTCAGTTTGCCTGGTTTTTGTTGTTTATTAGCACACTCTTACCATTTAGTTTCTGAGTATTTAAAGTTATTAGGAACTGTCCAAATCCATAAAAAGAAGTTAGTAAGATTCTTTATTTTTCTGGTTTGTTTTATGGGTGGGTAAACAAGTGTGACAATTGAATTGTTCATTTTAATAATGGTTTGTATCCTTAAATGCATATCCAGGGTGTTGAGGTAAGTTTCCAATTATTAACATTCATAAGATTGATATTAAMATTATATGTTTCTTTACCTAATGTAAACCAAATAGAACATTCACCAGTTAAAATTTTCAAGTGATTGAGAATAGTTTTTGGAAAATTCAATTTCATTGGAATATTTACTTATTTTATAACAGTCATATTTGATGTTGTAAAAATTTAATGATATATCGCTATCAGCTCAGTATGCTAATAGAGCATTAACAAGTAAAATATATTTTTTTATTTTTTTTTTTTAGGAAGATAACAATATTTGTTTTGTGTAAAACAGAAAATACAGCTGCATGGTTTAGTTTTCCATTTTTATCCTTGAACATTAAGCATTGCGTTGATCATTGCACCTCAGAACTGGAACTAAACACAGAAAAAATGTCATATTCTGACGTTCACCCCCTTTGTAATAGATATTGCAATGAAACATTAATAATTGGTCACATTTTTAGAGTTATACAAGACAAGAGCAACAGTCACTTTAAGAGGTATGCTAGAAGCAGTTACGGTTAAGCAACTGAATTAAAAATTGAACAATCACATGAATTTCATTTCTCTCACAACTTCCAACCAACCATCCTGCTTGGCTTGATAATAATTCGGAAAATACATGTAGGATTGCATTGAGGAACTAAGCTTTCAAGCAAAAATCCATCATCAGGGTATTAGAATTAGTGTCAAGGCGAGCATGTTTGGTAAATTGTTTTTGACCAGTATATTTACCAAGGGCTAGTRCATTTTCAGGAATTACTTACACTTCTTTAAACAAACACTATACACMAATGTTTTAGGGAAATTCTATCAGTTTAAAGGGGCACTTGGATAAAAATTGATGGAAATTGAAAATGACTGGTTATCTATATGGCCCCAATAGTTGCCAAGCAACATATTTTCTTCACAGTAAAAAGTAGCAGATGAGGATGTCTTTACTGGAGTATTTACTGGATATGCATAACAACAGTACAATTAGATGCCATATTATATTTACTGTTTGTTAGTACCAGCGTATTATCTATTACAAATGTCTGACCACTTCTTAAGCAATAATTACATACTGACATCTTGACGTATTGATGGTCAAAACTGTTTGAAACTTTGAAGTTGTCAAATATAACTAGTGCAACTAGTGCATCATAAATGCATGTTTAGTAACAAGCTATTATAGTTTACTTCCCAATGACAAGTTCAAATCTGTGTTTTTGGTCCGACTTTGATTAGTGTCAGTACAAAATCACACAAAATTGTTACACATGTAGGAGTCATGCTTAAATAACAGTGTATGACCCCCACCCCATCCCTYCCATTATTATATCATTTATATTACATTATCTTGATGAATTGCTTCCATTGGTCCTAATGGTTATATTTGATGTACAAGATCCAGGTGAGTCACTGATACATGAAGAGTGTAATCTAATGCAAACTTATAATATCTCTGTAGGGTGTCAAACACAGCTAGGTGTATGTAGTAAAGGTATATACTCTATAGTCTTGCATGACATATGAGAAATGTGAAACATATCCCATGTGATTAGAACTGTTCATATCGTTGTGCAATAATGAAAGACAAACATGGCTATCATTGTACTCTTAGAGCATCCTCCAGGTTAACAGACTAATGATTGGCAGAACTTTTGTCAAATAGTTAWTTTAGACTTTGGTGTGACAGTAGATCCAGTTGTGTTATTGTGCTTTAAGAACTGCTGAAATGTACTTTAAAATGTTTAAGACAGGTAAAATAACAAATAAAATTTAGACTAAAGTATATAATACTGGGTTTGTGCTACTTTTCAATCTCCAAGTGTATTTGAAATGGTATTTAGAGAAGAATATTGTCCCTCAATTCTCCCCTTGAAAATTGCAAATGAATGTGTGAATAGGTAGTTAAAGAAAAGGATATTCAATAATCTAGTAGTAATAGAAATTGGCAAAATAGCAGGAAAATATCACTGATTGAAGTTTTCATGATATTTTTTTTAAAGAAATTGTGAATTCAAATCTAATATACTACTTAATGACCTATTGAATTGARTCAAGCACAAACCCTGTTTTATAGTTTATGCTTCARTATTTATTAAATTTATGATTTCAAACAGCACAAATGTTTTTGGCTTGAATAAATTTTGACAAAGTTAACATTCTTTAGTATGTACATGTTATATTAGTACTATGATCTCAACATGCCCAAAGAAAAAACCTAAAATATAAATTTCTTTTAACAAAGGTTAGAATCAAAAAGTCTTTGCTTTACATCATAGCTTTTAATAATCCTAACAATGCGTTGCTCTATTAACATACATCTCTTAATTTGTTTCAACTAAAACATTTACTAAAAATATTAAATGTGAAAAAGATTACTACAAGGTACTGTCCTTTTTCTATATAAATTTTAGTTATTTTTCAATAATTACTATTTTAAAGGTTAAACATTTTTWATGGTATTTTTTCAATAATTCATTTTATTTATAATACTTTATGGTACTTCTTCAACTGCACAAATCCTTGATAAAGGTATGCTGTGCACAGTCATTCTCATTATGACTAATTCTTTAGTCCTTTAATTTGAGCAGTTTTGTTGTTGTGCTCTAAATTATCTTCTGAAGAAGTAGAGGTGTGACATTGCTCATTTCCATTGTTTTGCCTTTGCTGAGGACATTGAAGGTTTAGGTTTTACCTTAATCTTCACTCAACCGCTTTTTCATATATGGCACCGATATTTCTTTTCTTAATTGAYTGCTACATGATCTTTGGCATGTGAAATCACTATAACAATAAAACATCACCATTACCAACTTGCTTGACCTCTTTGTTTCCACCAAATTTCTTTGTATGCTCATCACAATTTTATTTTCTAAGTACAAAAAGGAATTTCCCCAATTCATTCATTCTCTTTCGATCTCTAACAAGACAGTGGTTTGGAAACTCCGGACTGCCTGTCATTTGTATAACTAAATCATGAGGTGTTCTGCTTTTCCTCATGAAAAGTTTTGATGTCCACTGCCAGGATGCAATTCTATCCACTTCCAAGATGCAACACCATCCCCGGCCTATATGTGCTGAGTTGCTGTGTCATCAGCTACCAAGATGTGCTAAATTGCAACGCCATCCACTGTCAAGATGTGCTAAGATGCAACATCATCCACTTCCAAGATGTGCTGAGATGAAATCCACTCCACCATCCACTACCAAGATTTGCCAAGCGGCAACACCATCCACTGCTAAGATGTGCCAACATGCAACATCATCCATTACCAAGATGTGCTCAATTGCAATGCCACCAACTACCAAGATGTGCAAAATTGCAACGCCATCCACTGCCAAGATGTACTAAGATACACCATCAATTACGTCCAAGATGTGCTTAGATGAAATCCATTCCACCATCCACTACCAAGATGCGCTTATATTAAATCCACAACAAAGATTTGCCAAGGTGCAACGCCATCCACTACCAAGATGTACTAAGATGCACAATCAATTACTTCCAAGATGTGCTTAGATGAAATCCATTCCACCATCCAATACCAAGATGTGCTTAGATTAAATCCACAACAAAGATTTGCCAAGGTGCAACGCCATCCACTACCATAATTTGCCGAGATGCAACGCCATCTACTACCAAGATTTGCCAAGATTCAACAYCATCCACTACCAAGATGTGCTAAATTGCGATGCCATCCACCACCAAGATGTGCTAAATTGCAATGCCATCCACTGCCAAGATGTGCTAAATTGCA